TGACTGTGACCGGCCAGTTGAGCGATCTTTCACAATACACGATAACAAACTGTCCACGAATCTTTCATACTAAATACGAAGAACAGAGTCTACAAAGGTACTTGCATTTCAGTAAGATTCAAACAATATACCCTAATCAGTCCACTCACGTAAACTAGTCAAGGGAGGGTTTGTGTCTCGAATGTTGAGCAACCGTAGCACTGGGAAGTTGGAAAAGGAGAAAGATAGGTGAATCACACTGAACGGAGTCATGCGACGCAAGACCAGTCAACTGGCCTCTTGGGTTAAACCTGATTCGACCAGAATGCCTTCTCAAACACTCCGTTGGGATTTGTAACTGCGCGGTGGTATTTTTTCCTGACAAGGAACACGATGCCACAGCAAGACTTTACTGGACAAGGCGATGTGAAACTCACTTTAGTTGAGACGCAGGTGGAAATGGCCTCGTTGAAATTTGGTTAATCTGACCAAAAATAAGAGTATGCCCATTTTATTTCTGCCCCGTTAGTCTTGAAAGGGGCATGACGTTGGCGCACCGTATGAAGTTGACTTTTGAACTCTTCGTTGTGCATGGCCACTGCGTGCAAGTCTTTGTCAATGATCGAGGAGAAATCATTTGTATGCAGTGGTGTGGCTTTGAGATGATGATCAGCAACCCACGGAGCTACATCGGATGGGCACCAGACTGGAACAAAATTGAACTATCCTGTGTTTTCACCGAGATAGTCAGAATATAACAGGCCTGTCTTTCTGGTTGACACCATCTAGTTCCTCTGTGAGATTTGATTCAGTATGCTGGGAGGTTCTGCCAAGACTTAAAATTGTTTCATACCGGTACGTAAAGATGGAACCAATAACACATTAGTAAATAAAAATGGAGAATTCAAGACTCCCCCAAAGTGTCCGTTTACACTGGACGAAATATAGGGTTCTCGTATGTGCATATTAACTCACCAGAACAAGGTTGGCTGAAAAACTCCGTTTGTTACACAAGGCAATGCAACAAAAATTGTGGAAGAGCATTTCAGTTTCGTCTTTTTGTGCCTCAGCTTGATCCTCACCGGAACAAATAGCTCCTAGATTATTTGTCCTTTCAAAGGAATCATTATCATTGCATGCGAAATTAGGGGATCATCCTGTTGACATCTTTGTTGATTGCGAAGCAGACCATCGCTGTCTCAAAGAATGCCTTTATACACATCAGAAATCTTTTTTGTCACTTGGAGAACGACATTATACTGAAGTAATAAGATCGGTGTTTTCGATATGAGCTCATTTCAAAGCCTTGGAATTTTTCAAAACCATTTTACACTGACTCATCTCTTCTCTAGTAAGCGTGCTGAAACGTGAGTAACTTTCAAGACATTTTTTGCCTATGTTGAAGATCCTATCTTTTCATTTTTTATATGCGCTCTAGGACAGGTAATACGGCTTACAGTAGCAAACGAAATTTCATCCTAGAAATTGCTCTCGCTTGATATTGTCAAACAATGCTCAAAATCCTAAAAGTACTGCCAGGATGTGTCGAATCGATTTTTGTTTTGTTGACTTCGAAGATGAACAACCAGTCTTAGGTAGATTATGTTGCTCTGTGACTCTCGAGGAAACAATTCTTTGCCAATAATGTTTGGACCGGATTTCTACCTGGAGACTGAATTTGACCCGTACGAAAGAAGGATAATCCTCGTATGACGGATATATATTTTGGAAAACGTCGTTTCTATCAAATCCTGAGGGTTAGTCAGACCTGTAGCATCGAACACCAATTTGAACACCAATGCGGTCTACTTACTCGGACCAGTGATACCGGAATGAGATTTGGCAAACCCCGTAAAACCTCAAAAACCTCAATATTGCAAGCCCACTTGATTAGTGTTTCCCTCGCAGCATCTGCCACAAAACAGCGTCACTAGGCTCCACAAAACACATCGTGGCTTTCAGGCAAATGTTCAGATTTTCAGATTATCCATCATATGAAAATTCAGTATGTACTACTGAAGTTTATCGTAGTCGATGGGTGTCTGAGTGCCGCAGCGCTTCGGGTGGGAAAGAGATGCATAACATTATCAGAGCAAACAGACAAAAGCACACGTTTAACGACTCCTAGGGTGATTTCTGCAAACTGAATGAACTCGCATCAGCCGTTATCTGCTTCAAATATCAGTGTTGCTTTAATTTGAACACAACTGAGATAAAGGAACCGGAATAATGCGCTACTCATGGGCCTGCTAAAAAACTCGTTGACAGCCCACGACCGTTCGCGCCCATCTTGGGGCAAATCAGGTTGGCCAGTCCCCGAGTTTTCGTCAACCTTATGTTCCAGTTGAACCCAAATTACGCAAAATTAACAAAATGCACTCATTTGCCTATCATTTATGTTTTGACGGCAGATTCACCTGAAACCCATTGAACCCAATTACGCAAAATTAACAAAATGCACTCATTTGCCTATCATTTATGTTTTGACGGCAGATTCACCTGAAACCCAGCTGAATCTTAAACGGGACATTCAGCTTGGTTCCAGCCGAGTCCTTCGTCAAAACCAAGTTGGTACGCATATGTGTCCCCTTCGCTAACTGGGACTAGTCCGTATATTGTTTCACATATACTGTCAAACAGTATTTCACTGTTAATTTTTTTGCAGTGGATGACACCGTTTGTAAGTCATTATGAGCATAATTTTACGCTCGTTGTACTTAACAATCAAAGAAGCATTCCGGACAAAATTTAATGAACTTCACATTTAGTTGGTTCGAAGCCCATTATTCTGTAGATGTACGCTTGCAAGCAATTCCTGGCTACAGCAAACACTCTTAGCTTTTCCTCAGTGCACGAAGTTGCGTCACTTTCGCGGTGGAAACTTAATGCCTGGTAGTGAATTTGTCAGAAAGTACAATATCACCGTCTATCCGCGCCATGAGTCTGTTGATTCAAACTGTCGATCGATTGCTCCGCAAATGGGTATCCTCCCAGTGTCTGTGCATTACAAGCTCAAATAGCATGGTCGCACCACTGTTAAATTAGTTAAAATCCAGCGTTTATAAGCACTAGTGGTGAGCCCCTTGTTTGACGATTACAAAGGCAGATTTTGAAACGGTTCAGAATGCGTTGGTTAACCTTTGCAGTATGTAAGGTATGATTTGGCCCCATTTAAAGAGAGACGTTTGCGGTGCGTCTGTTATAAAGAGAAAAAACATGCTCATCTGATCGGACCGCACGAGTGATAAGTAAATGTCTCAGAAGAATGCCAAATTTTCAAGATTTTTTTACAAGAAACTATTTTAAAGGCCTAAAAAATACCCCTTTAAAAATGCCCTTTTATTAGTGGTTTTCTACCTTCCTACCCTACGGATTCTTTGGGTACCACGCTAGTTATACTTTACACGAGTGGTCTAGCAAATGGTTCGGGATCCGGTGACCACGCTTTAATACCATTAACATCCGCTGTGGATGGGATCTGTGTGGTGCTGGTAGCCATCTGATCAGTGTTTCGTAAAGTTACGTCACAAACCGACGTGGTTTTTGTCTGCACTTAACTTTTAAACGATGACCGTTGCAATATACATAGCCGAGCAAGCCCTAATAACGTGACTCTTGTAAAAAGTAGAATATCCTATCGTCGTAATCATTCCTGTACAGCTACTCAAAATGAATGCTTCAAAATGAAAGGTCCAGAATTGCTCTCAAATACCATTCACAAACAGATTATTGTGGATACTTGGCGCAGTTAGTTTAGAGAACATCATCAGAGTTAATCTTTTGGCAAATTTTGGAATCAATCAATCAGTCAATCGATCGTCACAACCAGGACAGTTATTGGGTCGTCGTTCGATGAGTCGAACACACCAATCACATCGCTCAAGTGTGAACACGTTCGCCTGTTCAGACGTGATAATACAGATGCGTCCAACTTGCGTTGGTGGTCTAGTGGTTACACGCTCGCCTCGCATGTCAGATGTCCGGGGTTCAAATCCCAGCACGGCCATTGGGTATGTACTGCTGATGAGCTCTAATAAGAGCGAAACTCGAGTCCAATGCTTCCCTTTGGTGTGGACTCACCGGAATAATTACGCCAGAACAGGAACACGGCTGTTCAAACGAGAGTGGTGTGGCTCTGAACAAACATACCTATATCCCGCAAACCCCAAAATTTTGGAATTGTTGGGTCCTACAACTTGCTTAAGATCATGCCATTGCGTCATGCAGAAGGTGAGCTTCAACTGCTGCAAGCTTTTTCAAGTCCACAAGCATGGCGTCAAGTCACACACAGTGTGTTTTTTGGTGGGAAGCAAAATGAACAACACAATTTAGTTTTATTCACTATGAGAATTGATCAATTAATTTCCACCTAAAGAGAACCTTTGTGTCAATGTTGTGCCCTACCTGATAAGAATCTATCAGTGTGAAATAAGGGGACGATAGAGGAGGCTGACACCACTCAGCCAACTGCAACTACACTAAAATACCAAGAAGTGTGACTGATTTAGAAGCAAGTAATCTCGAGTGTTCTAGTAATGGAATCGCCGATCATTTAACTGAACGCACCCCAATGTGACGCCGATGAAAGCGCCTTTAGAAGTTCTAATTTTCAGCGGTGTCTTAAGCAAACTGGCGTGTGCATATTCTGCGCATGTAATGTAGGACGCATGTGCTTAGGTTAGGTGAGTTCATTTCTATACACCGGAAACTCAAGACTTGCGCGATATTTTCTTCTAAATATTTTTCAGCGGAATACCTAAGCAAAGGACACTCTTTTGGTAAGAGATTTCACAACTTGTGTGATCTTTCTTTGATTGTATATGCAGTAAGGAATATATGCATACATTCATACATTAGAGGGATGCCGCATGCTTTAGAAGTATGCACATCTGCATGCTGCCATTGAGCAGTTTTGGTACACTGGTGTCAGCGCCTGTGAATGCTGGTGAATCGAATAACAGCAAGTCAAAAAAGTCTTGTACTGCAAAGCTGAGCAAATCGGAATAGTTCAGCCTACCAATATGGCCAGTAAACAGATCACGATTGAAACGGACGAATTCGGTGGTAAGTGTCAAGGCTGCCGTCTGTCAGAACCAGTGTTCAAATTTGTCATCGATATACTGCTTGAGGCTCTCTTGACCTCCTCTGAATTTACGGATAGCAAAATATGCCCTCACTATACGGTTTCAGTTGTTGCTGAGAAAAACCTTTAGGTGCACCCCAGTACGACTCTTCATAGTAAATAACATAACTAATTCAGCCGCGAGGTTTGATAATCGGGCAAATGTGTAGGTTCCTGCTAGGTAGAAATAACCGATAGGTTTAGAGTATGATAACCTGTAACGAAGTGTATGAGGATGAGCTTGCAAACTCATTCAGATTAACACAACGCCTACCCGGATGGGCGACCCTGGAATTCATCAAACAATCCTTTTTGTGAAATATTCACTTCTCTTCCTGAATGAGGACTAGCATTTTATTTTTTAGATGTTAAGCTTTTTCATTTCAAGGGACAGGCCGAACTAATTTAAAGTTATCCAAGTAATTGTGTTATATCCTCCGGTGCCGTTTAGTTTCCCTCAGGCTGTATTTTCTTGATGGTCAATAGAGAAACAGGCGAAACACTGTCTTTCGTACAACTGATTCAATAAACCGTCATCACTGCATGTGCGCCTCTAAACCATTTTGCACTGCGGGATTTTCGAACCCCATTACTGGAATTATGCGGACTAGGGAAACACCAACAGGACGTACCAATTTTATTCACGTCACTATTATATTCCTGAGCACATCTACTTAATACGTGTTCATTTAACTGGGGATTTTGCCGTAGGTTTCTAGGAATGGTAAAGGATCACAAGGAAAGGTATAAAGGAAACAGTGCTCAAAAACGGATTGTACGCTGGGACATTCTGCGGTGCACTACTGCAAATACGTTTGTGTTGTTTGTTCGTTACAGGAACACAACAGGACATCTTACCACCTCTTCACTCTTTTGAATATTCTTTCTACAAAATACAACCGTTATTATGGATATGAAACACACTAGAGAGTTATACGTCTATATGGATTAAGTGAATGCAAAAAACAACTTCGAATAATGCTCAGGATTACTGCTTACCGTTGACCTTTAAATACTAACTTTTATTTCATGACAGCGTCCGGAGTTTCAGGTAAACCATTGTTGCTCTTATAAAGGCCTAAATTTCGGCGCCAGTATTGTTAAAGTAATGCATATGAATGGTTAGGTTGGGTGAGGCAGCCTATTCAGGGTCATTTGGGAGGACTTTGAAGCCTGATTGTAAAATTACTACATGGTAATCTAATCAGCATCCTGGTCAATTTGAGAAGGATTCTTTGACTGAAATACCTTTAAAACAGGCTGGCAAGCAGACCAGCAGACATCTGCCGTTATGTCGTTGTTATATTTGCTCTTTAATGCAATATTTTGATTGGTTTTTATTGCGGCGTGTGTGGAAATTGACTTAGTAAGATGTGCACACCAGGTATTAACATTTAGAAGGTAACCAATCTTGTGGAAAGTTGAGCAATTCTCCTACGTTACATGAAATCACAGATAAATGCTTCCAAAAAGAGCCATGATAATACTTTGTGAAGAAAATTAAGCTGGGACACGTTCTAGAGTGGCTGTCAGTTTGAATACCTTCCAAGATGTTTCTGTATCAGAACCGTCCGACTGTTTAAGCTGACATAAGTGACACAACAGCCTCAAGAATGATACTATGTGGCCGCTTGCTTGGTAGAATCGCCTACGCCTTACAGACTGTGACTACTCAACATCTGAATGGTTGAGCCCCTGGATTCACTCTACCATCTCCATTTTTGCTTCCTCTCAGTGCTTTTTAAGTTTAGGAGTGTTTTCCGTACCCTAAGAAAACATCAATTGAAAGGAACCACTTCACCAATTGACTGGCCAAGCCGTTTTTCACAAATTGGGCAAAATGTTTTTTCTCGATGGTTATAAAGCTTATTACAGAAGCAAAGTCTACTTCAGGATTTGAGACGATATCTTCGGAACTGCATGTTAGACTGGGCAGATGTTCGTATGGTTCGTTTCACTGGATACAAAGCACAAATCTTCCCGCGTTCAACTAATGCAGCTCAAGTTATTGGAAGCCGATGCGCTCTGATCAATAAGACACTAAGTTTCAAGTTAGCACAAGTCAGTGATAAAGAAGAGATGGGAATTGAACGGTGGAAGATGCCGTCAATAGCGCGAATTAGGAAAAAATAGAATGATATTCTGAATGATCTCAGTACAAGTTGTACAGTCTAGTACCTTGAATTTTATGGATTACTAACTGCCTGATGAACCGATCCCCATTTAGACCGGATCTTGGCCGCGATAGGCTTTGCTGCACTGACAGAGTTGCACCAAAGTGAGGGTGAAAGCCTGTTTAGTTCAACTGTCACTTTGCATTGGAAACGTTTAGAGATGTGGAAGGATGGTATAGTCTGATGGTCCTGACTCCGCGATCAATCTTTCACATGGAGTATTACAACCCCTTTAGCCGTTGTGCGATGCCCGTATGGTTCATCTGCATCCTTTCGCCTAGAGAGTTTTAGTTAGATATAACACATTTATCAATGAGGTAAACAAGTCTCCAGAGTTAAAATTATGGACCCATTTTGGTCACATTTGATCAACCACTTAAGCGGTGTAAATCGGGCATGTATTTTAATAAGTGCGGAGTAATCAATGAAATTTATAAAATTGAAATCGCCGTGGTTCCGTTTTGTTTGTTTCACAAAGTGCTGATGCCGGTCACGCTGAGTGCTATAACTACCAGCTCGGATAGAGACAATGAAATCAAACCTCCTTGTCAAGACCGTGCTTACTAAAACAAGCAATTTTTTGGTAGATAGTAAAAGTAATTTGTAGCTAATAAATGCAGACAAGCTGCTTGTGGCATGGCCTGGCTGAATATCCCACCTAAAGGACACTGATTATAAAAATAGCCAGGGTTTTCTAAAACCCATACAAAGAGACTTAAACTCCAAAACTAGTGAAAACCTTTTGAGGGTAGCGAGGCAGTTGACAGAATGCAGGTTTTTGTTTTGTTTTCGCAACTCAATTAAAATCGGATTTATTATTCTCATTTGTAGTTGACCGACTCGTGAATAGAGCCAAGGCCCAATGTGAGTATTCGTTTTCCAAAAGCACCCAATTCCAACCAAGTTCTAGTCAATAAATTGGAAGAGACACATAACAAGGCCAGCATTTGCAAACCTAGTTCGGTTAGTTAGAGTTAAATTTGTATAAAATGAAGAGCAGAGCGTGCTGACATTGAATAGTCTGCAATTGCTTTTAGGGATGAACTGTTTGTGTTTGTACTTTAAAGTACATCTAAAAGCCTACGAATATTGCAGGCGTTTCTATTTAACTTCACAAAAAACCTTGTGAGGTTTGCGAAATCTATGGTTTTTCGCGTTATATCGGAAATTGCGCGTATCCAGGGTTTCATTAACACACGCGTAGTTTCACTTGTACGTAGACAAGCATTAGAGTCGATAAAAGTCACTACAACCCATCTCTTGAGATGAGATCAAGTATAGGTGAAGTTGCGTTTCTAGAGTTGCAATGCATAAGACATAATAGAATATAGTGATAAACTCATTGTTGATAAGATGACTTCTCATTTTCTTTCTTTTTTTAAAGGTGTGGAATGGGGCTTGTAATTCAGAAGAAACTTGCTTTTCCGGTTGAAATGATACACAGGTTTCCGTTTATTGTTGTCTTTTTTCTCAGTCAGTAAGGGGTGCAGGAAGAGTGAACATGTTGTAAATGACTTCATAAGGCGGACAAACATTCCTAAGGAGGTGATACTGCTTTTATATGAATTCCAAAGTAGTGGGCCGCGCAGACCTAATGGCTGACTCGAACAATGATCTTAGACCCGGTGCTTGGCCGGTGAAGGTACCAATTCATTAAGAGGATGTAAATGTGGGATTAAATTTGGCCGAATATCCAATAGTATCGCAGAAACTCGATCGATCTGCATATCAAGTCATCCTGGGGGTTAGATTTTAAGAAATTAGCTTAGCCAAGACCAGGCAATTAGCGCTCAAACATCTTGAAAAATTTGCAGTAGACTGAAATGTCATGTAACATAACAACACTTTGATCAGGCGTCAACTAAGAAAGATATTGGCTCCAGTATCTATACCCAGTAAGGAATGGATTGGCACACCGGTCATTCCATATAAAGCAGGAAGATCGGAGGTTATTCGAAGGTTGTTGAACTTGGCCAACATTCAAGTAGCTTTTCAGAAGGGAAAAACGCTGCGCTCAGTTTTGGTGCAATTGAAAGGACTAGGGACTGTGTGTATAAAATTAACTGCAACGATTGCGCTAAGGTTTATATCGGACAAACTGCCAGGGAATTGCACACCAGAATTGATGAGCATAAAAGAAGGATTAACAAACCACCAAGGAATGCAGAATACTAAACGCTGGTCAAAGACTCAGCGATGGCGGTACATGCCTCAGACACGGGGCAGACATACAATAGATCTGGAGAATGTGGAAGTTTTAAAGGGGGGCTGCGATTCACAACATAGCGGCTGTTAGCCGAGGCGGTGGGAATTACTAAGCATCAAAGAGTGAATAGAATCGAGGGTGTGGGGCGAGCGAGCGTATGGAAAGCGGTCTTAGATAAGCCGAGTTGACACGTGACGGTGTGGTTTTCAATCCACTTAGGATCATTAGAAAAAACCGGGGGTGGGTGGGAGTGGAAACCCCAACCGACCAAAGGTCACAGCATCCCTCTTACACAACTATCTTAGCACTAGCTCACCCACACAGACTAACAGAAGGTTCAAACGAAGTTCAAGAGGAACCATCAAATGAACCGAACCAGAAGAACTAGACCCTAGGCAGGACCCAAACACATGTAGGTTTCCCCACCGACCCAACACTTGTTCAACCACTCTAACACACTAAAATCCCTCGGCCGACACCCAACAGAGATTTAGCTTGACTTAGCTGATTGGTTCTCCTTCGGCCTTAGATCTCGACCAACCTCGGAACCTAGCCAATTGGCCTGAAGAAGCTTTTGTGTGCAAAGCGAAACTTTGCTCAGCAACAAATCTACCGATTGTCGCTAAACTTTTTCGAAGACACTTGAAGGACTTCGTATAATGATTTTGTTTACCGGCGTGAACAATGTGTCATGCATTTGAAAAATGAACGGGAGCTAATTTACTGAGCACCGCGTTTGGTCTTCAAGGCCAGAAGACTCGCAGCTGATCTGTTAGGCTGTGAACATGAAACCTGGTTTACAGCAGGCAACACAGTGTCCATTACGGTGCACTTTTTTGAGTGTCGCATCTGCCCAACTTTTTGGCCATTCGTTAGATCAAATGAAAGAACCATGTTTCAACATGACCGCAACGAAGTTGTTCTAGCGACAACGAATTACGAAAAACAAGTAAACGAATGAACGAACGAACAAGTAAATGAACAGCCACCCGTGGCCGAACGGTTAAGTGTTCAAACTACTAGCCGGGAGGTCGCGGGTTCGAGACTCCTTCCTGTTTCGTGAAATGCGCACTGCTGATGATTCCCAATAGGGATGAAACAGCTGCACAGTACTTCTCGGCTTTTCAGCATAGATTGGCTTCACTTACAGGACGAAATCTCCACACAAAAAAGTAAACGAATGAATTCAAATGAAGCTTTCAACAATGGTGCCTTACTATTGCACAAGCTTCACAATAGGTAGAAAAATGTTCCCGCCTTGAGCTGTTTTAAGAGCGGCGTTTCAGTGTGATTCTTGATTAAGCCGCTCAAAAGACAAGTTATAATATATTTGGCCTGGAACGTTGGTTTTTTAAGAGGAGATTAATAGTGAGATACCAGGCAAACTTTAGAGGCCAAGTTTTCGGCGAAAGTGCTTTTGCGGCAGATATTTTGGTTAAAAAGAGGGCTCCCCACACCTCTGAGCTAAGAACAATCTTACTGCTGTCGCTACTCTAGGAAAGATTGAGGTTTCTAGATTAAATTTTTCCGCGGTAACGTTAAAACTGTCCCGATTTTGTAGCGACAATGTTAACAATGGCAAAATTCAAGCCAGTTCCGAGGAGACGTTTTGTTCCCTAACCTTGTACCCTCACTTTGATTGGGTATGCATTTGTCGTAAGATAAGTGACATCTTAAAAACCTAGAGAAGAAGAGGAAAGAAAAGAAGCACCAGGTGGCACCGCTTTCGGCAAAGCGTTGAAATATAATGGTAATTTCCATACTCGGAACGGTAGTCGACCAAGCATTATCTTCAACAGCATATTATTCAACTGCTAAATGTCTGCACACCCATAATTAATCAATGTTCTAATGAGGGTCAAAAAAGGGTGAATGAGGGATACCAATTATAATTTATCCTGGATAGCATTCAGGCATAACATGGGAGAAAGTAAGCCGTCCGATAATTGCCCGAAAGAAAACGGAATCACCAGGATGGGAGAAGAAAATTATTAGACATTTTGCAGCACAAGGCTACTTCAAAACGCGGATAAACTCTAGTCGGACACATGGTTTTAAATAAAGACGAAAGTTTTTAGCTGGTTTCGGAAATGACTGTATGTAAGTCGGATGTCGGGATCTTATGGCGTTCAGACTGGCATAAGCCGAGTTCGTCTTTCAACTCTTCGTCACTGATGGACGTTGAAGAAGGCGGTTGCTGGAAGATGGCATGTTAGCACATCTGGCACAGCCTCCAGCCGAATTATTTTATTATATCCGGTTTTTCCCCAAAGGCCTTACAATCATACTGCTACTAGGTGAAAAATTACAGCTCACGAATATCTGCAGTTTTGCATACACATCTTTTTTAATGTATGAAGAGTTTTTAGACTTTAATGTCATAGTTTCTCTCTCTCTCTCATTGGTGGAGGAACATAGCCATTACGATGGTTTCAGGGGCTGAACCATACCAAATCAATATTTTGAAAGCTATAGAAAAGGATGGTCGCAAACTTCAATCGAGAATTTGCAGCGCGTGCACAGATTCCGAGTCTACCTTTGTGTTATTATTGATGTGGCTATAAGTGTAAGCAAACTGATCCCAGAAACCATACAATTTGAAGGTCGGTAAAAAGGAAGCAGTTCTCCTACAATGCCAGCAGCATCACAATTGTTTGAAGATGATGGACGCGCCCGAACACCTGGTTTTATGTCGGACATTTTGCTTACACTTCACGGTAACGAGCATTTTCTGCCGGTGAAACAATTAAATAGTAAAGATAACCCTCGGCAGCCCTTTATTACCGGTTGCTGTCTCGATATTTTCATCCGGTCTACAGAAACCACTGCAAAGAATATGCAATCTGAATAATTACAGGTGCTACAGGAATCCTGATTTGACCGTTTGTTCATAATTCTTCTTAGACCGAATATAAATAGACTCAGGGAATCAGAAATTTCTGACTGGAAATTTGAACATGCTTTGACCATTTATTTCTCGGAAATTCTAAAATAAATGTCTAAAAAACAAACCCCGTTGAAGTGTGAAAACAGTGTTATAATAAGCCATTGATGTGCATGGCCCAATCAAAAACGCCTAAATTTCATGGATCAAAATGCTCCTGATCTTTTTTTAGCTAGAAACGGGCTTTCTGGTAACCTACTTATCCTAATTCACTTCACTAACAACCAGTATCTTGGGTTTGGTTTCCGGGAGCTAGGGAATCGTTTTTGTGTTTGTGTGACAAGCTTTTCACTTCCCAAATTACCCAAATATGCTAGAAATATCTGCGTGCGCTCAGTGTTCGGTGAATCTACTCTCTAACGGGTATTCTGTGAGCATGGATGCTTTCCACAGTCGAACTTGGCATCGAAACTCTGCTTAGATCAAAGACTTAGTGCGTATAACTTTGCAATGACTTGTCGTTACCTAGGTGGTGGTGTTCGTGTTTAGTTTGGAAATGCAAATTTCGCTCATCTGACCCGTCTTGCCAGCGCGTTTTTAAGACCTATTTGAAACTGCACTGATAAGTCCGTTTATCCGGAGGTTGGAAATGCAACCGAAAGGTAAACATGAGACACGAACTATTTTCTCGAAAATTCCACTATTAGCTTACCATATACAAGGACGATGCGAAGATACTCGACCAATAGTTACGCAGATATCTAATGTCCTCGGTTTACAAAAACAAGAATGATTTGGGGGAAGGGTTCTGTTGACCTTGAACTTGGTGATACCGAGTGATAAAGAAAAACGTCTATGCTGAGAAATTCTTCTGATTATCAAGTTTGAACCAGGCAATACAAATATAATGGCACATCTGGTAACGCAGATGTAAGGTGATAAATAAAAATAGCAACGAAGGCGTCACCACTGTCTTAGTGGCTCCAGCGAGAGGTGTCCGAATTTCAAGGTCTACCGCAAGGTGATTTCCGACCCAGTACCGTCATTCTAACAGTGCTGCCCTTTGAAACGGGCAGCAAGTCACTTCCGCCCGCGTGAAGAAACACAAGCAATTGTGAACGGGTTCATTTAGGTCTTACAATAAATTTGGCTTAAAGCGAGCGACAAAACCGTAGCTGTTATTTGTTTCTTATATCACTTTATTTCAGCTGATCTTACTCTAAGCACATCTAACCAAAACTCCGGTAGATAGCCCAGGTTTAAAGAGAGCCTGGTAAAAAAAATTGACAGTAACAGCTCATCTACAAAAGCCGGTGCACGCCTCACATGCCCTCCCTTGCCTTCGTAGTCCACCGTCGTCATTAAACCAACAAATATAGCGTTTTGCAGATGAGATAAGATGAAATAACTTTTTAGGTTAAAGCCGGTCGCAGTTTGCGAGTGCTGTAGATTGAGAACACACTTGCTGCCCTGAGAATATGGGGTGTCAGGCAACCGTAAATTTCTTCCTAATTTTTAACGGAACTTCCATGCGACGGATTAACAAATTTACTGTGGAAAGTAACAAGATCCCATTTTTATAGGTAGTCGGAAATTAATGCGGGTAGTCAAAAGCTTTAGGTCTGACAAGTAAACTAGGGGGGCTTATTTCAAACGACATGGTACATTGTGGCGTTTTAAACCACCCACTAGTCGCCTTTCACCTTCTTTAGTAAAGGACACGTTCGACCTTAAAATGCAAGTGGTAAAAAAAGTCAACTTATACACATCTGGAAACGCCGTGCAGAGAAACATACCAGTCAGTTAAGGCAGGAAGATGTGCTAACGTGGAAATCGGACAGATGATTGGAAGGGAGATGGTGCAGATTGCACACCAATGGTCAACATCGAAACGTAGTGTACCAAAGACTGTGCAAAATATATTTGACGAATCCGCAATACACTTGGGTGGTAGGGATGGTCAAAGGCGTTTAATGAAGTTATTCAAACCCTGAAGTTGGAATCACCAATTTGACTGTTGTTAGTGTGCGAATTGATGATTGAGGCCTAGGCATTTCATATTGTTCCCACTGATCTACACACATTTCCTGTTATTGTTACTCCAGGAACTGCTTTTTTTTATCAACCCTGGTACATCTTTACACAGCTCAAAATTGTGCACCCGGGCTTTTCAAACAACAGATACTTCCAAAGTTCCCATCATTAC